TAGAGGAAGATATGAGATTACCATGGTCTGCCAATGAAAACCCCACACCTCCAGTGCCCACATTCACACAGGCAGTGGATATTATGGGATGAGCCTGCAACACAACAATAGGGCCTTCATACTTTACTATAACTGTAGAGAGGTTTGGCTATTTTTTTATAAAGCAACTCCAACTAGTGCTTAGAAAAGATCAAGCCTGAACTCTCTCTGGAAGCCAAGATGACTATTGAGGCTATTGTACTTTGGCTCAACCTGAAGAAAAATGAATCATTATGAACAGCAGTATATTAGGAAAGGTGGAAGTGAGTAGAAGGAGAGGAATACTAAGTGCAGTATGGTTAGACTAGATCATAGAAGACATGGGCCTGGGGCTGTTGGAGCTGAGCAGAAAGGATGAGTAGAGGGGGTCTTGGAGATGTCTCATCCACAGGGTTGCCATGAGTTGAAGTTGACTTGAGGGCAGTTAACAACAACCAGTGCCTTAGCACAAAAGCAGTAGTCTCCTATCCTTAGAAAGATCAGCTGCCATAAACACATAATTGTCAGCCTGAGCAAGCAAGTGGAAGAAAGTTTCCAACAACATCCTCCACTTCCTGTTTTTACAGCTTCAACCCAAATTTAAATTGACTAGTGGTAGCATGGGAGGTTGATTTTTCCAAGCACAGCAGCCTACATTTTTGTATGTTCATTTGCTAATGCTTTAGCAAGTCTTCTAGAAACTAAAAACATTAAAAGGAGGCATGTGGAGAGGAAAAGGGAAAGAAGGAAGATGATGGAACTGTCCAGACAGAGGTAAGCAACCTTTTCCCTTTAAGGGCCGAGGGACTTCAGCTCCCAGAAGCCTCAGCCATGTTGGCCAATAGTCCCATGTTGGCCAATAGCTCCTGGGATTCTGGGAGCTGAAGTCCCTCAGCCCTTAAAGGGGAAAGGTTGCCTACCCCTAGTCCAGAAAATGGAGAGGAGGTGAGAGTTTGGACACAATTCATGTCACATTTCATGTGAACACCAAACATATTTTTTTATAAAAAACTTGCCCTTTTATTAAGAAGAAATACTGCAGAAAAGGAAGGGGAATAACCCCCAACTTCACATGCTGTGCAAAATACCATTTGGATCTTTGAAAATTTAGTGTGATGTGAAGAAACAAGTCTGACACATTTGTCCCATTGGGAAGAGTCCCTTTCCAAAGTCAAAGGACGAGATGGTGGCCTCTTGTTATAGGACATGTGCTGTTGGTCCACTGTTCAATATTTCTGTTTTCCCTGAAAGAAGATAATCTGTTATACCCCCCAAAAAAACACCCCCATTCTACCTACCACCATTGTTACTAGGGACTCTTCAGTCTCATGTATGTTTTAGATATTTCTCTACCACATAGAGTCTTAAAAAGCCAGTTAACTTGCACAAGCTTGCACCTGGAGGTGCAACAGCAACTTAAGCAACAGAAGGAGGGGTTCTAGTCATCTCTAATGAACATGACTTCCAGACCTGCCTCACTCTACACCAGGGTGGGAATCATAGTCCCCTCCAGATGTTGTTGGATTGCAACTCTCATCAACCCTGGCCAGCATAGCCAGAAGTTAGGAATGCTGAGAACTGTAGTTGACAATATTTGGTAGGCTGCATAACTCTCATCTCTGCTCTGTAGTCATCAAGCCATGGGCTCATCCTTTGAGGAGACATCCAGAGCCCTGACAAAAGGAGAATATTGTGTGTAAAAGTACAGTAAGAAACCTTAATATGCATTTATTGACATCCATAAGAGTCAGGTAATCACTTGAAGTATGCACATGAAACTCTTCCTGCACCTGCCGTTTTTCTCTCTCCATGCCTGTGAAAGTTCAGGTCTAGTGTATAGCCATAAAAAGTTCATCAACTAGTTTAAAAAAAAATTATTTTCAATAAACCCTGGCTGGCATCTGTTAGTTAAAATGTTGTAAGTTAGACTTAGGACATTGTATCATATTCTAGTTTGTAATTTTGTCATTACTGCAAATGACCCTGAAACCCACCTTAAAAGCCAGCTGCTGTCCTTGCAATGAGATTCTGTGGCATTGGTGTGCAGGGTGCTGCAGGATGACTTCACTTGGCCCTTCCTTCGAGTGAGTTATGCTGCCACGAAGAGTTGAAGCTTTTACTCCTTGAAGCATCACTCACTGGTGGGAGAGGGCTGGTCACATCATTCTGCAGCACTTTACTTGGTATCATCATAGATTTACATCATTCCAGACAGCTGACTGGTTTTTAGAATGAATTCCAGGAATCAGATGTGTTGGAAATTAGTTTCCTAGGGTGTCAGCCCTTGTTTGGGGAAAAAAAATATTGAAGCTAAAACTATTAGGAATTAGCCTTCTTTAGCAGAGAAGCAGGTAAGTGTGCCTCAATCTGACATTGCTTCCCTGAGAACTGAAACTGAGTCAAAAATAAAGTAGGCAGTTTCAAGCTACAAGCTTAGGAAGCATTTTGTTGTTGTTAACTCCCTCAAGTCAATCTCGACACAAGGCGACCCTATGGATGAGATATCTCCAAGGGCCTCAGTCCTCCACTGCTCTACTTAAAACCTGCAACCCCTTAATATCCATAGCCTCCTTAATAGAGTCCATCCATCTGGCATATGGCCTACCCCTCTAACCACTTCTCTCCACCTTTGCCAGCATTATTGTCTTTTCCAAAGAGTCCTCCTTTCTCATGATGTGTCTGCAGTCCGACAGTCTCAGTTTGGTCATCTTGGCTTCCAGGGACGTATCTGGCTTGATCTGTTCTAGGACCCATTTCTTAACTGTCCAGATCTCACATTCATACAATGATAATAGGGCATACAATGGCTTGTATAATTCTTACTTTTGTGGTGAGTTGTATATCTTTACATTTTAGAATCTTTTCTAGTTCTTTCATTGCCACCCTCCCCATTCTTTACTCTTCTTCCAATTTCCTGATTGCAGTCCCCATTTCTATCAATGTTTGATCCCAGATATGAGAATTCTTTTACTATTTTTATTTCTTCATTGTCTAGGTTGAACTTGGGAAGGTCCTTGGTGGTCATTATTTTTGTTTTCTTTATGTTCAACAGTAAGCCTACCTTTGCACTTTCTTCTTTGATCATCCTTAGTAGGTGTTCCAGGTCTGTGAGGTTTTCTTCTAGTACTGTGGTGTCGTCTACATATCTTAGATTGTTGATATTCCTTCCTCCTATTTTCACTCCTCCTTCTTCTGTGTCCAAG